CAGGGAATCAATCCAGGTATTAGGAAACCTATATCATTTGCCATTACAAGTCACAAAGTTAAGGACATTGAAAGTAGTTATAATGAAACGTCAATCAAACAACTCGGTAGGCAACGGACTGATTTATTAAATATAAGATTACCCCCAGTTTGGTACCTTACATCCCTCCCCACTAAGCTTAGAGTACATTCCTTAAACTGATTAAATTTAAATTAAAATTAACAAAAGAAAATCTAACTAAATAATACTAAAAATCGTACATAAAGCTCACAAGTTCAATTTAGCTCGTTTAAAAGCCCGCATTGCGCGAGCTGACATCTGCGGTGGCGAAGAGCCCGGCCCCCTCGGCGATAAGTCAGCCGTTACGTGGGGCGACCCGTCAGCGGACTCGCCACCGCTGGACGTCTCCTCCCCCTGCGCCCTATCGACCTCGGACAATTCGACCTGTTGGTCCGACCCGTTACCGACAGTCGCGGTGCTAGTGCGGGAAAGCGAGAACCGGCCTTTGGCTGGAACTACTTGATCCGCGTGTCTCCGCCACTCGACACCATTTCCTATGTCCACTTTATAAGAGACCGGCCCGGTTCTTTTGACCACCGTGGCCTCAGCCCATTTGTTTTCCTTGGATGTGTAATCGCGCGCGAGTACCGCTTCCCCCACATTAAACTCCCTTTGTTGTCCCGCAGCGCGGGCCATCTGCTTTTCTTGTTTATCGCGCACGACCGCCGCGGCGTCCGGCCGCAGCGCATCTAGGCGGCTCCGGAGCCGGCGCCCCAGCAGCGCTACTGCTGGCGACACACCCGTAGTTGCATGTTCACAGTTGCGGTATTTAAACAAAAATTTGGTCAATGCCGTGTTTACATCCTTGCCCTCATGTAAGGCTTTTTTAATTGTCTTTTTAATCGTTTTAACCGCGTTCTCCGCGGCGCCGTTTGCCTGAGGTCGATAAGGGGCCGAGGTGGTGTGTTTTATACAGTTATTTTCACAAAATACTTTAAAGTCTAGCGAGAAAAATGGTGGCCCATTATCCGTCACGAGCTGCGACGGGAGTCCGAAACGTGCGAATATGTTTCTAAAAACTTGTATAGTATTTTCTGCACTCGTGTTACGCATCGGTATTGCCTCAATCCATTTAGAGTGTGCATCTACAATAATTAAATACCGTTTGCCTCCGCAATCGGCGAAGTCGGCGTGGATGCGTAGCCACGGGTGCAGCGGGAACTCCCAGGGGTGCAGCGG